TCCTAATCAAAAGAACAGCAGTTTGAACCCACCAGCCACTCTATGGAAGAAAGATGAGGCAGTCTGCTTCGGCAAAAAGTTAGACTTGGAAACCCTATGGGACGCTTCTACTCTGTCCTACAGGATTGCTATGCATTGGAATCAACTCAGTAGCAATGGATTGGGAATTCAAACAGCAGCACTTTCTTCTCCCATTCACAGCTAAAGAGTTGTCTGCATTCCCTGACTCCATTTCTCACCTCTCATTCTCTCTTCTACCAGTCAAGTTTGCTGTTCACCTCTCCACCCAACAGCTCTTATCAAGGTCATCAAGGACCTGCTATTGCAATTAGAGTAAAATGCAAGGTCCTTTCTCAGGCTCACAAGACCCTGGTGATTCAGCCCCTGCCTACCTTTCCCTCTTGCTTCACTTCAGCCAGACTGTGCTTTCAGCCCCCAGACACACTATTCTCATTCTTTTCTTTGGACCTGGGAACTGGCTATTCTCTCTGTTGTGGTGGTTTTCAGGTAGATCTCTATCTCATCCTTCAGGATTCACCTCAAACATTACCTCAACAGACAGCCTTCCCTACCTTACCTTCTTTACCTTGTTGGTAGGTGCCGTTAAGTTAGTTTCAAGTCATAGCAACCATATGTACAGCAAAATGAAACACTGCTCAGTCCTACACCACTCACAATCGTTGCTATGTTCGAGCCCATCATCACAGTCAGTTCAGTTCATCTCGTTAAGGGTCTTATGCTTTTTCACTGACCCATCTACTTTACCTAGCATGATATCCTTCTCCAACTGGTCACTTCTGACAACGTGACCAAAGTATGAGACAGTCTGGCCATTCTCACTTCTAAGGAATATTCCAGCTACACTTCCTCCAGGACAGAAGATGTGTTCCTTATTCTAGCAGTCCATGGTACATTCATTATTCTTTGTCAACACCAGAATTCAAATGCATTGATTCTTCTGCAGTCCTCTTTATTCATTGTCCAGCTTTCACATGCATATGAGAATATTGAAAATACCATGGCTTGAGTCAGGCACACCCTACTCTTCAAAGTGATAGCTTTGTTCTTCCTTATTAACCAGATTTATTTCTTTAATAGCTTACCTCTGTCAGAAATGATCTTATTTTCTTATATTTATAGGTGCTACATGAATAAATATAGTAAATAAATGTGTAAACTGAGTAAGTAAACCCTTGCTGAAAGTAAGGTCACACCCACAAACAGCAGAAAGAAGGAATGGTGCAAGGAGTTGGTCCCTGAGGGAACAGAGCTAAGGCCTATCTGTTCTGCTGCTGAGGCATTTGGTTGGCTGCTAGCCCAGGAGCACCATTCAGGGGTACATTTGTGGGCCTGGTTCTCAGCCTCTGAATGAACCCCTGGACACAGTGCCCAGTCAGGAGAAGCTGGCAGGGGCAGGCCAGAGGTACCATGGCAGGAGCAGGTCCTTGACCCAGCTTCCCTGGGCCAGCCTTGAGTCAGGCCAGCCCCTCCCAGAGCTAGAGCAGGACATTCTAGAAAAGGACAATCCTAGCAGAGAAGAAGGACCAAGAAACCTCATCACAGCTATTCTTTGATCCTGCCAAACAGCAGCAGAGAAAGGCTGTCAGGAGAGGACTCTACATGGCAGGAAAACAACTGCCTGGGAAGCCTCTGCTAATGGGGCCAGACACTGACCAACTCCAGCCTCACATTAGGGATTTGTAGGGAGGCCTTTGGAGCCATGCAGCCTCAACTCCGAGAACCTATCTTCTAAACTCAAAGTCACCTACAGGCTTCTCTCCAAGGCCTGACCCATCTTGTCATGGCTACTCTTTCTCAACTCTTCTCTCTATATCTAGTCCCACACTCAGAAAAGGATTTGCCTAAGGTTCACCATTGTGCTGTTACTTATCCATATTTTTATCCCCAGCACTTGGCAGGGTAGAAGCTGAATGAATAAATGAACTCATGAATGGCAGAATTTCAGGAAGTGGTGAGGGAAGAGGTGTTGAAGACAATCGACCACCCAAGCACACAAGATAAATGACCATATAGTCTTCTTATTGGGAAGCCCAGTCTTAAGCAAAACACACATCTGTCTCATGGGGAAATGTAACCTCTTGGGGTGCTTTAGTTGATTAAGTAATAAATCAGCTCTGCAGTGGTGTTGGTTTGCCTACTTTTTAATATATGCCTTTTAACATAAAATTCACTTTCAACCATTTAAAGTGTACAATGTGGTGGTTTTTAGTATATTCACAGTGTTGTGCAATTATCACCACTGTCTAATTCCAGATTCCATGAACCCAAACAGAAACCCCTCCGTTGGCCACTACAGTGGTGTCAATGTCTAGAGACCCAGTGGTCAAGGGGCTGCTAACCTTCCCAAGTCCAATCACAAGGACCCAGTTTTCTGCCCAGGATGGGGTTGAAGCATGCAAGAGGAAGCTGGAATGAAAGGAAAAGTCAGACCCAGAGATACCCACTTGGGAGAATTTGCAGACAAGAGGGACAATGGAAAATATATATGAATGGGGTCCTATCCTGCTGTGATGCACACCAGGTGTATACTAGCCCAGCATTCTGCACAAGCTCCAGGTCTGTTTCTTGACGTGTAAAATGAGCATAACCTACTTCAGGGGAAGACCAAGTTTTTCTATGAAGGGCCAGATAGTAAATATTTTAGGCTTTGTGGGCCATACTGTCTGTTGCACTCCTGAACTCTGCCCTTGTAGTGAGAAAGCAACTACAGAAAATATGTAAAGGAATGAGCACAGTTGTGTTTCAATAAAACTTTATTTACCTAAACAGTGGGCTGGATTTGGCCCAAAGACAAGGTGATCCCTGATCTACCTCACAGAACTGCTGGGAAGGTGATGTGACAGATGTGACGCTGCTTTGTGAACTGTACAGTGTGGGGCACTTGGGAGAAGCTGGGGGCGGGGTGGGGGGTAGGAGTAGCAGATGTGGTCATAAAAATTTAGCCCTGCACGTCTACCTGCGGTTAGTGCTTCCAGAGAGTAAAAGGCACCCGCCTAGCAGTCAGATGAACGCAGGTTCCGCTAGCAGTACTGCCATAGGCCTCCTCGGAGCCCTCACACGGCCGTCACCCTCCTGGGGTTGCCGTCTCCTCAAGGGTTAAATGGGATGACAAGACTTCACAAATGCAGAGAGAAACTGCCACAACCGGCGTTGCTCAGCCCGCCACCAGCTATACCACTTGCAAGTTGCAGACCCAACCCATATTGCTCAGGTAAGGGAAGGGCTGACGGCGAAGACTCTACCCCTGCAAGATCCTCTCCGAGTCACTGGTTGGGTGGTCTCTCGCGCCAATTCCTTCCTTCAGAGCCATGACCAGCATGTTTTCCGCCTGGCTCTGCAAGAATCCTGCCCGCAGCTTTTTCGGCCCCGTCGAGTTCCCGGTCCGGATTGCTTTGCGCTCGGCCCCGCCCCCGAGAGCCCTGCCTCCTTCCGTTCCGCCCCCTCCCCGGACCGGCGTGCTTTGCGCCTGGCCCCCATCCGGCGCACGTTCCGCAGCTGCCTTGGCGGAAGCGGAGGCGGAGATGAGAGCACCGGATGAAACCAGCAGGCTGGTCCGCTGGTGTGGTGATACCTCCTACCTAGTCGCCTCGCTCGCAGAGTGTTTAGGCCACGGAAGGTAGCAAAGGAGGTGAGACCAGGACGAAGACACCCCCCCCCCGACTGGGATCCTACAGCTCCTCGCCCCGCACGGCCCCGCCACCG